CATTCCTATCAACCCAGAGTTTGCTTCCTTGAATTTGGCACAAGCCGTCATTGTGATTGCTTATGAATGGACGCGTCAGTTTGAAGATTTCTCCCCACAAGATCAGGCTGTAACCTTGGGCCTTGGGAATTCACGCCCGGCAACACGGGAAGAAGTCTTTAATTTCTTTGAACATTTGGAAAAGGAACTGGAAGCCAGCCAATTTTTAAAACTTCCCGGTAAGAAAGAAATTATGAAGCGAAATATTCGCAATATGTTCTTAAGGTCTGACCTAACAGAACAAGAAATTCGCACTTTGCATGGGATTGTTACCTACCTTGTCCGCCTTGATCCGAAAGAATCTCGCCAAAAAAACCGTCATACCCCTGAAAAAGTTTGACAAGCATCACTTTGTGCGATAATTCACTACTCAGGTTTTATCATCGATTTAGAGTGAGAGCATTACTGGATGACAAAGCGCATTCAAGCAAAACACAAGATTGATCGCCGCCTAGGTGTAAATCTATGGGGCCGTCCGAAGAGCCCTATTAACAAACGCGAATATGGTCCGGGTGAACATGGCCAAAGCCGTAAGAAGCCTTCTGACTTTGGTATTCAACTTTTTGCAAAGCAAAAAATTAAAGGCTATTACGGGAATATCACAGAAAAGCAATTCCGTCGCATCTATACAGAAGCAGAGCGTCGTCGTGGAGACACAGGTGAAAATCTTATTCAGCTTCTAGAGCGTCGTTTGGATGCTGTTGTCTATCGCATGAAGTTTGCCCCAACTGTTTTTGCCGCACGTCAATTGGTCAATCATGGCCATATTTTAGTAAACGGCAAGCGCTTGAACATCCCTTCTGCAATCGTAAAAGACGGTGATGTTATTGAAGTGAAAACAGCTTCTAAAAACAATGTAATTATTGTTGGCGCTGCACAATCTGCAGAGCGTGAGCTTCCAGATTATGTTGATGTAGACTTAAAAACCCTCAAAGGAACTTTTGTTCGTGGGCCTCAATTAGCCGATGTTCCCTATCCCGTTAAGATGGAGCCCAATCAGGTTGTTGAATTCTATAGCCGATAAAGCTGCCTTATTTATCTGAAGTTTTTATTAAAACACCTTAAACTAAAAAAGTTTAAGGTGTTTTTTTTACATGACACCAAAGTCTTTAAAATCGCTCTATACAAAGGGGTGAGCCTCCTTCATAAGGCGCAGCAAAAGCATTCGACAAAGAAACAACTTTCTGTTGCCTACCTATTCGTGTTTGAACACCCAAAGGAGATCATCAAATTTATAATCCTACATCAAAAATCACAAAGATCTTGCCTATCAGAAAGTTTTCCCGCATGAATTTTAATTAAAATTTGTAGCCATTTGAAAAATCAACCGTATGCATAAAGTTGAGATTTGAGGGAGGTATCAAGTTTGAAAAGTCGCGAAGAGCAGAACTATTTAAACATTTTTCAAAAAAAGATAGATACCCAAAGGTCGATATTTAGGAGCATTGTTCATTTTTCAAATGACTATAGCTTAACTTGGTGTCCAAAAATAAACTGGGGAATAAAAATGGCTCATCTCTCTTTTGCTTTTAAAACGTCTTTTTTGGCTTATCTCTGTGCTTGTTGCATTCTCTCTCACACCAATGCTTCTTCTTTCTCCTCAATAGAAGAAAGCTTTCATAGCGATGAGATGTTTGATGATTCTTGTACAACAACTGTTTCTTGCCACTCCTCAGATGAGGTGATGGGGGAGATATCAAACGAAGAAGACACGATCTATGAATCCTTCATGGAAGAAATAGATAGCAGACTTGAAGAAGATCCGCTTGATACGCTTCGAAAGCTCGTCACAGAAGAATTGGATTTTTTCCCTAATATCCGAACAGATACTGTCATCGACACCGCTTTAAAGTTACACCATAGAAAATGCAACGATATTGACGCTGAGATTAAACTCTATTTCGAACAATTTCTAATCCTATATGATACACGTGATATTTCTCTGTGTGCTTTCTTACTGAACATATAAGGCCGAAAAAGACAAAGTGCATTGAGGACCCTTCTCCAAGAGGCGCAGAAAAATGCTTATAACGAAAGGATTCGTAATGAAATTAACGAAGTTAATGCAGAGGTCCTTTTGCTCAAAACTCATTTAATCTTAACAAACAACCCCGAAGTTTAGGAAAAAGTAAATCTCACCTTAAAGAAGAAGAGAATATCTGCTCTGGGGAGTATTGAGAAAAATTTTCCTGTAATAGCCATTCTGTTTCTGGAGAAAAAGGAGACAATTTTTGTGGGCTTCTTGCCTTTTCCTCTGGCATTTTGGGAAATAAGTATGACTCCTCTTCAAAAGGCAAAAAGCCATGACGACGGGACTTCCAAATTTGAAATCCCGTTCATTTTATACGATGGAGGATGCCATGTTCCATCTCATTGTGCCCTTGGCCATACATGAGCAATGTCGATGATGACATTTCCCCATCGTGTAAATGTAAAAACCGGTGATGGAGCAAAGGTTCAATATGCTCTTTCCAACAAAAATCATTACGCACCTCTAAACCATCACTTGGGGTATCATAATATTCCCCCCTTAACGCTGGCTGTGTATAGGGGGATGAAAAATCAACATCATCTAGCGTTGGCTTTACACAAACGTAATTTTCACTATATTGATAGTGAAAGTTTTTTAGTTTATTGACAGTTTCATTAATCTGACAAAGATAATAACTCTCAAACAACAAAAAGCTTACATCCCTTTTAGCTTCTATTAAAACTCTCTTCAAAGCTGAACGTTCCCGTAAGGTTCTTGTATCTAAAGCAAAGATCTTCCTCCCCAACTCACAAAATAAAGAACCTACATAATCATCCAATTGAAACAACATAACTCGTTGACCTTGTTTCTCTTTCCTTAACTGAAATTCTATTTTTAGAAGTTGGGTTAGTGCATCCGGATTAAGCTGCTCTAGCTTGACCTCTTTGGGGGAGTCTTTCTTCTAAATACTCTCTCACTCCATTATCTAAAAATTGTGGCCAATTTTCATATTTTTCACGTTCTTTCTGACACGCTTTTTCCCACACTTCCGGCTCAGAATAGTACTGCGCATACGATGCTCTATAATCTTCCATTGCATTCTCAATTTGGAGAGGATTTAAATACAGGCCAGGGTTCTTAAGAACCTCCTCTTTCTTCATTCTTTCTCCACCATTATACCCTTCACCAGTTTCAGTTATTAAAACGCTTCCTTCTTCTTCTGAAATCTGCCGAATAAAACCACGAATGTGGGGAGGTATAACCTCAAGAGGCCAGGTATGAACTGTTTCAAAAATATAGACTCTTAAAGGAGTCCCTTGATTTGTTCGGATTTCAAAAAAATTTGGATTCGCGTGATTTAAAATAAAAACATCCCGCATCAATCGAATGTACGGTATAACAAAGCGTCTGTGTTCATTAAAGACATGCCCTATCCCGTCTTCCTGAACGACCTTCAGCAAATGAAACGGAGGCTGTTCACTATAAAACTGCACACACATAGGATATTGAGGGTCAAGACAAAGAGAGTATTCTTCCTCTATTTCTAAAGCATGCTTAGAGCCATAAGCAAAATCACCACACAAAGTACATATGCTGAATGCCCAAAGTATAAATCTCAGTTTCATCTATTTTTCTCCACCTGTTTCTTATCATGAGGTTTGGGGAGCGTTTAAATAAACGTGAAACCCAAACACGTAAACTCCTCAAGAAGGAAAATCACATTTTCTTATTTTTTAAGGCGATAAATACACTATGCTTATTTTCTTCATCATTTTAGAGAAGACAAGAAAATTTCCTCCCTATTTGACAAATGACAGATAAAAGTTTTCAATATCAATATGTTGAAAAGGGAAAGAATGATGAAGCGCTCTATTTATTTTTGCATTGGTCTTATCTTGACAGGCACACAATCCTGGGGAAGCTCAGAAAGTTTCAGCGATGACGATAATGAATATCGATATAATAAAAATACCATGTATACCCTACTAAAAAGTCCCGAAGGGACAGAGCTGTTTAATTATCTAAACACCGCTATCAAATGCGGACAAGAATGGAGATTCAAGCGTATCCCTTTTAAACACTTAAACTGTTTACCCTCAGAAGCAAAAGAGGCGTTTTTAAAAATTAAAAGAAACGATGTTGTTTATTTAGAGAATCTTTATCAATCTTGGAATAATAGTGGCGCAGACCAAGGAAACGGTATCAGGATGATCATCCTATTCCCCGCAATCCAGAGCGCACTCTCGATGACTTTTTAGATGAATTATTTGAAAACCTCTTTGATTAAAAGAAACTCATGAGGATGCCACCCTCAAGAGAAAAAACGCACTCTCCTCTTTTTAAACCTGTAGAGCAAGCTTATTGCATTTTTTTCTATTCTCATTAGTCTATTGCTTAGAAACTCAAGAAATATTTTAAGAGGTTGCCGTGTTACAGATAGGATCAAAAGTTCCCCATTTTATGCTTCCTGTTCCCGGGAGCAAATCTGTTTCCCCAAGTGATTTCTTAGGTCAAAAGATTGTGATCTACTTTTACCCTAAGGACAATACACCGGGATGCACCACTGAAGCCAAAGATTTCAGAGATCTTAAAGAAAAATTTGCAGAAAAAAATACCCTTATCATTGGTATTTCTAAAGATTCGATCAAAAGACATGAAAACTTTATCGCAAAATACGATTTAAACTTCTTGCTCGCTTCTGGCGAAAACACTCAAGTTTGTGAAGATTTTAGTGTTTGGGTTGAAAAAAGTATGTATGGAAAAAAGTATATGGGCATTGAAAGGTCCACTTTTCTTATTGATGAGGACGGAAAGATTCAAAAGATTTGGCGAAAAGTAAAAGTATCAGGCCATGCTGAAGAAGTTTTAAATGCTTTATAAAACCCTCTCTGCCCGATCAAACTTTGTGCTATATTGTCTTTCTAAAGCGATACCACCTAGGGAGAAAAAGCAATGAGCCACCAACCTGTCGTTAATGCCCTTAAAAAGCTCCTTGCGGATTATTACGCTCTTTATCTGAAGACCCAAAACTACCACTGGAACGTTGAAGGGCCACGCTTTAGGGAACTCCACTTATTATTTGAAGAACACTATACAGAACTTTCAGAGGCCATAGACACTCTGGCGGAACTCATTCGCGGCTTGGGTGAAAAGGCTCCAGGAACTTTCGAAGCTTATATGCACAACACATCAATTAAACCTGGGAACGAATCTGCTTCTGCTGAGAAGATGTTAAAAGACTTACTTGAAGATCAAAGGCAGATTGAAAAGACGCTCAACACAGTGCTGAACGCCACACAAGAAGCTGAAGATGAAGTCGTCATCGGTTTTATTGTAGACCGTTTAACACCGCAAAACAGCCTGGATGCTTAAAAGTTCTTTATAAATCTTAAAAACCTTTTCAGGAGTTAAAAACGCTAAGGACTGGATAACGAATCACCATTAAAGTTCAGCTCTTCGATTACTTGTGCACAAGCGTAACGCAATTCATAATCATAAGGAATTAAGATTGATTTTGCCTCTGTAAATAGAAGGTCAAACTGAACATCTACCTTCACGACATAGAAAGTCTTGAATGTTCCAGTCATTTTCTCTTAAAAACCCACTCCAAGGCAACACGTGAAATGTCAACAAAGTAGTCTGGAATGAAAACGTCTTCTTCTTCAGATTTTTCACTTGATTCAGAATCTTGCCGCAGTTCCCTTAACACATCATGCTATTCTAAATGGGTGTCAATACAGTTCATATCAATGCAGTACATACTCGATAGACGGCACAGATATTCTTTAAGTCCATTCCCTCTTCTGTATATCGCTCTTTGTTTTCTAACATATGTGCATAAATGGCCTTTGCGACTTTCTGAGGTGGAATACGAATCATCACGTCTAAATCTAATGCGGTTCCTTCCTCACGAATGTCCCGAAAAAACAACCCCACTTATCGCAAACACTCATCAGAATAATCACCATCTACACTGCCCCCCATAGTCAAGACAGAAAATCGTATTTTATAAGCTCAAATTCTCATCCTCTTTCTAGTTAAACGAAGCAACAA